GTCCTAACTGAATAATTCAGAGAAAGAATGGGAGGGTTCCAAATTGTGCATGCAGGTGTCCACAGTGTGGCAGTGACACCGGGAAAAGCTGGCATAGGTTCATTAGCAAGTACAAGGAATGTTGCTAGTAACCACGAGGAAAAGTAACGCTTGAAATGAAACACCCAAACAGGCATAGAGCAGAAAACTGTCCCACATTTTATGGGCCATCTTACCATATACAACAGAAATGGCCAGCTCACTAAATGCCTAGTGATATTTTCTCCTGTCATCTTCTCATGACTATTAGGTCCAAATGTTATCAGCAGGTAAGTTCCAACAATTGCCAAACCACAGCCTACAAAGGACAAAACGTAGCGCCCTTTGGCGACCAAAGGACAAAAAAAGAAAAAAAAAAAAGAGAGGACAAAGTTAGTGGGTTAGTGTGGACGCACAGAATTAATATCGCACGTGCACAGCGACCATTAATGACATCATGCACATGCCTCTGGATGACTCATTCCTCTGCCCTTCATGCTCCACTTTCAAAATATTAGAACCAAAAAAAACCCCAGGCAACGTGTGTGTTGTGAGTTGAGAAAAAAAAGCTCCGACCAGGTAGCATCTGCTAAATGAAAAGGAGCTACAAGATCCGTATCTGGGGCTAATCCCGCCTGGCACTGCCCACTCGCTAGGAAAGGGAGGAATGAACGCCCCGGTTCTGAAAACACCTGCACGTGTAGGAAATTCAGCTGATTCAGTTGTGCCTACGCTATGGCAGAGTCAAGGCCCCAGGCTGCAGCTTCAGCCCAGAGAAGCATCTTTCTCAAAAAAAAAAAAAACCCCCTGCCGTTTCCACATATTTCTAAAATCTGTGAGATTCAGATGATTTGGCAGAAGTCAGAAAAAAAAAAATCCACTTTTAACAGTGGATGAGATGACGCATTTCTTCGACGAGGTACTATAGCTAATGGGGATCTTGCCGTCCCTCTAATTATGGTTCTTGAGAGGCCATGCTGTGTGTTGAATGGCTTGTAAACAGAGAGGAAAACCGAAAAGGAGCTGTGGAACTTACTCAAAAAATCCTTGGGCTTCCATTTTTCTTTAATAAATATAATTCCTATGATTGCACTAGCTACAAAAAAAAGGAGAGAGAAACAGTGAGTTACGTATCAGCAATCTCACACTGGAGCGCTCCCAGACCCGTCTCTTTCCCCCTTACCTATAACAGACACCGCACTGAGTGGCACGATCAGTGAAAGAGGAGCAAAGGCGTAAGAGGAAAACACTCCCAGTTCTCCCAGCACCAGCAGAAACAGTCCACACCACCACGTCTTGGTTTTGAAGTAGGCTCGGGGGTCTTTGGAACCTGCCAGTCGGATGTGGCTGTATTTCTAGAAAAGAAAACAAAGACAGAGAAGCTTTGGCATGCTTGATGGCTTTTTAACGCAGGGTGCTTGAGGCAGGATGAATATTTGCTTCGTGATACTCACCTGGAGGTTGAGTGCAATACTGGTAACAAGATGCCCAAAAATAGCTAGTAATGCCCCAATCAAGTTCTCCTGTAAAAACAAAGTAAACACACAGATCTAAAATTTAGCCACTGGACCCTGAAGGAAGCTGGAGCTTTTTGCACCACCTGGAAGAGAGCAGACTTTTAAAACAGTTCCTAGTTCACCTGTCAGTAAAATGGCTGTTGATCTTCCTCCCTTTCTATGTGATCTAGGGCAATTCAGGTAAGTTCCCTGTGGCATCTCTGAAACTGGGGTGAAAGATAACCCTTCCTTAACAGAGGCTTTCTACAAGAGACTTAAACTAGGGTGCATATATTTGCATTCTTTGCAGTTTCTCGGAGGGGAAGAAGATAAAGCTGAATACAATGACCCATTCACTCATTCTTCCCTTTGAAAAACTCTTTTCATGAAGATGTTTGTTGCCCTGGAATTCAGTATGGATGAGGAACCTCTGCATTCTGTGGGTCACATTCTGCTCTTCTCCACTTACAACATCTGCTGGTTCAGTAGGTAATTTAGCCCATTTGATGAGGCAGCCCAATTATCACAGATTTTATGCTGCTTTTTATACGAACCAGTTATTCCAAAGCAGTAGGCAACTGGTAGGAGCTCCTAGCAAGCTCCCAACCCCTTCTGCATTAGCGTTCCCAGCTCCGCGATAATTCTCACAGTCTAAAGACAGAATCTGAAATAAAAAAGGATGTAAAGCAGGCTGAGTCACAAAGGAATGTACATTAGGAGTGAACAGAAGAGCCTGAGGCTAAGCCAGGCCATTTAGCATATGTATTCTTCCAACAACTGTCTAAATCCCATTAGATGTCATTAGCACTTTTCATTTCAGTGCTGGTCTCCAAGAGACAGTCCAGTACTTACTCTGATTGATTTGGAATAACCCAGCTCACATTCCTATTCCTCCCTGAACAGTAAATACACTGTTCTTGACTGTCTCATACATAGTAAGACAAGGACTTTAAGATTTCAAGTTCATATCAGCAGAACAAAAATCTCTTTATCAGGATGTATAAAAATAAGATTCACCCAAGCAGCTTCATTCAAAAAACACCCGAGAGATCTTCCCACGACAGACAGCAAAGCTGGCAGAAAACCATCACTGTGTGATCCCAGACGTAGCCAGAGCAGCTCAGCACAGTTTACTGGTTCAGCAACTAGACTTCAGTTTAGAAGACACAGAGGAGACGGTGAAGAGCCCCTCAGTGCAGCACAGGTTTGGGACTGGCTCCCGGACCGCGAAAGTTCACAGGCCAGCGCCAGTCTGGGCAACTCCCACAACGCACCCAGGACCGTGTTCTCAGCAAAATACTTTTTCCAGCAGGGAAAAAAGCCCTTCTTGCTGCGATTTTCTAAGCACTTTCAGAATCAAGAGATTCAGAGGAAATTGATTTGGGAACAGCTCCATTCCCAGCTGGAGAATAAGGTGGAACTAAGGCAGCGTCCCATCTCAGCTGCAGGCTCTGCATGACCATGGGCTGACCCACCTGAAATTCAAGCACTTAAATATACAGCAGGCCTCAATTACTGACGTATGGGTTAGTCTGAAAAGGCACCTAGCAGAATTTATTACACTTTTAGACATCCACATCTTTTAACTGCCAGTCCTTTCTTCACTTTGTCTAGCTCTTCAAGACACAGAACCTCCCTTTCTGTCTCTCCCTGCTTATATACACAGCGTATAGTACACTGGGGCCTCCAGGCAGCGCTAAAGACAAAGACAGTGCACTTTCTGCAAAAAAATACCCAAAATACAGTGGCATTATCAGCTTACTTGATTAGTCAGGGCCTTCTAGGGATAGACTGGGGTACAAATCTGACCTTGTAAGAAAAGGAGTCAGTGTGTGGCTGCACAGAAACAGCTGCTGTGGCCAACGGGAGTTGCTGAAGTTGCAGGTTTGGGCTGTTGCCGCCTTCCATTTCGGTTGATGGGAGTGTTTGCTTTTCAGCCTCTCTGATGCTGGAACTTCTCTTTAAAGAAGAGACTTGGACCCTGCTGGAACTGCCTTATCTGTAACTTGGTACCACTTCTTCCCATCCATCATGTTTTCTTGGACAAGCAACAAGTAACTCAGTGAAGCACAAAGAACAATTCGCTGTAGCCTGTCTGCTGCTTTTCTTCCCCTGCCAGGCTATGCCGACACAGGGTGGGCACCGTAGGCAGAAGTGTAGATGAGCCAGTATTTCCAGCCAGTCAGTGGGATAGCAAGGTTATATTTCTCCAAGGTGATACTAAAAGAAAAAAAGAAGGAAAAAAAAAAAAAAAAAAGGAAAAAACAAAGAGAATTAGGTCAAGTGAACTCAGTGGTCCAAAAACTGCAATGAAATTCTGCTGAAGGACAGGCCACAGAAAACTCCCTGGGATCAAACTGTCCATACCAGCAGAGGAAACAGATTTTTAAATGCCTTCTTACAAAGCCTCAAACACAAAAACTCGCACAGACCTTGCTTTACAAGAGCTCACGAACTGGCTTGGCCCCAAGGGTGACATATTCAGCTGGCATTTAACATCAGGCTTTGCCATTTGGAAAGCTCTTATCAAAAAGTCTCTGAAGTCCTCCAAGCCCTGCTTTTCGTTTCTCTACTGCCTGCATACCTCTGTTGTTTGCTCAGGACGCAGCACTACATTAGTCACGCCATCCCCACGTGCTGGCGATGACAGTGCCGCTCTTCATGCAAACAGAGGTCATTTCAGTGTAATGGCTGTGAGCAGAGTTTGGAGGCCAAATTCCTTACAGCCAGACTGATTAGAGGTGTCTGGAAAGCACCGCACACAGCCAGCCTGTCTAAGCTCCCTGCATGCTGCGGTGGCTCCTTTCATCAAAGACCTCAAGGAGCATCATCCCCCCTGCTTTGCAGAGAGGGGGGTGGTGGTGTACAGGCATTGCAGGGGTGCGATCCTCACAAGTGACATGTCCTTCTCGGTCCACTCAAGGACTACCTGAAATGGTGCAGGCTGAGCATCCTTTAGACTCAGATCCCGAACAATCGGCCTGTGGTCACATCCCAAGGTAGCAGGACCTATCCCATCCTCAGGCCACAAGTGGCAAGCTCCCTTGGACAACCTCGGCCTGCGAGGGATTACTTTCACTCATGGGTTGTCCCAGTGCCTCCAGCGCGGGGGGGAGGGGACGGGACGGGACAGGGGCAGCATG